AACAGGACGAGCGTTTTCATCAAGATGTGAAGAGTTTTCAAAGATTGGCACAAAAATTTTTGAGATGAAAATATGTTCAGAGATTACTGTTAGATTGTTATAAAAAAAACTGATCCAAAAAGTAGAAAAAAACAAAGTAAAATAACTCATTTTTGGCGATTTTTGTATTTTTAATTACATATTTCTTAAACGTGACGTGGCTGATGTTTTTACTTGACTTTTTTTGAAAAAATTTTAACTAAGGTATAAAAATCGTGTAAACTAGTGTAATTAATAATTACCAAATTACAGCGTATAATTGTGTGTTATTTAAACAATAGCTGGCCCTTGTCCACGTCAACGCTAATAATGTGACTAATTTTCTATTTCTGAAAATTCTATTATTTGAGAGTGGTTGTTGAGCTTCAACTGGCCAAAAACCAATCTAACGGTAAATTTTTTTCCATTAGAAAAGCACGCCTGAAACCGTATCATAAACCACTGTCTGGATCAGATGTTGATGTAGACAGCGCGTGTTGCATCCAACCGAAAATCTATGTGTGTTCGTCTCGACACGTCGACATATCGAGCATTTATTTAGGTGTTGTGTTGTTATTTTTACCACTGAAAGCGAATGAGCATAAAAATGAGGATGAAACGATAAATCTTCGTTTTTTAAAGAGCCACCACGGTCATAACTCGCGAAGCCGAAAACTCTCGATTACCAGTTTATGACAACTCTAGTTTATGACTAAAGAAATGAAAAATAAAAGACACATCATTCGAATCTAATTAAAGTAAAATATGGCGTGTTATCTGCATGATGGCCGAACTGTATTTCTAATCGTTGCATGAATTTTTCATAGTTCAGTGATAGTCTAAATCAATAACAATTAATGGACAACAAGTGCATTATCCTCTTTTATCAATATGATTCAGTTGCGTCAAAACATTTAAATAACAAACAACTTTTCAAAGTTTTAAGAGGATTGCTGAAATTCACCAGAATTAAACTGCTGATTGGATGGCGAAACTATTTCAATTCTGTACAACTAAGTTTTAAACGACCAAGGCAAGGGTACAAAAATAGATCGATCCCCTACATGTTACAGAATGAAACATTCGCTATTTTCGCTACGACGACCTCAAATGAATTGCATCTCAACATTATAATCAAACTTTGATGCTGTAACATATTACCATAAGATATTTTTGGAATTTTTAAAAATAAGTTATTGAGAACAAACGGAAGAAATGAGAACAAAATTGACGACTCTGACGCCCCAAGGTCGTCAAAACCGATCCTAGCCCTTTGTAAAGCCTCATCTGGTGTCAGATGTGACCCACTTAGCCGACTCAAGCTATAATTTTAAAAAAATTCGCGTTTTTTTACTCAGCAGTAATTATACGTTTATTAATATTATTCATACGAATTTCCCAACAATACAATAGTAATTTTAGATTTCAAACGTAATACCACCGCAAACAACATGACTCATTTTTTCTCTCACTGTATAATCACTGAGATGAATAATTTAAATCATTATCAATCATTTTACGAAGAAATTATACGTCATTGAGTATTGCGTAAACCAACAATACGATATAAGTGCACAGAAGGAAGAAAGCAGGGGTCATGAACTGAAGATGTAGCTCGCAAGCCAAGGTTCAATACACTATCGACGTCACAATAACATGCATTACATATACAGGTTCTTCTTGAAGTAGAATAGAATAATGTCACAAAACCAGTTTGAATCGAAAGATGCTGACTCAAAACTGTATCATCAATATATCCTTTTAACTTTTTTATTTCCGGTAACGTCACTTCCACTAACTTAGACTCATTGTTTTTTATAGACCAATCAGAATTCGGTGCTGGTACACACCTATGTCATTATGTTAGCGAGGAGAGTACACAGAAACGAGCAGGTGACTCAAATTGCAAAAATGTTTCCCCTACTGAGCAATTTTATTTCTCTATTCCGTAATCCTTTGACACATTAGTGTAGGAGTACTTAATTTTTTCCCAAACGTAGCTTCAAATAACTATTTCGTAAAAAAATCACTTTTCATATTTTTTTTGTGCAAAATAGCAAAGATTCTTCCGGTGTAGCGTTTAAAATGGCACGAGATATATAATGTTTAAAAATTTCTATTTGTCAAAATTTTTTAACATTTGACAAATTTTATGTCTATTTAATGACACTGATAATTTTGTATATGTTTTTTTGTAATTATTTAGTAAAAGTACAAAAATTTTGACAATAAAAGCCATAACAGAGTTGCAATAGGACTTCCTGGTTTCCTCTTCTAATAGCCTGTTGGAAAAAAACTTGGAAAATTATTTTTCCAAAAGAAATAAATAGAGTCAAAGTGCAAAATTTAAACTCGGGTAACTTCGAAATTTTTATCGATAGAATTTTTTTCATATTCCTGGTATCTTACTGTTTTTTCTCTGAGGCGAAAGTTCTGGCGCACCCTGTATAAGTCAAATAATGTTCTGCGTTCGCAAATTCATTAATAAAAAATAAAATACCTATGTGGTAATACTGGTAATACATATTAATAAAGATAAAATATTTATAAAAGAAATCGTAACTTTTTCGCATTTCCCCTTAAAACTTAACCAACGCAGGAACTCAAAGTGTAGGATAAATAAACTTAAAGACTTAAATTCCCTAAATTTTTAACAAAAAACCTATCAAATGCATTTCCTACTAAATTCACATCAATTTAAAAAAATTCCACATCCTTTTGGCCAAGGTAGGGAGATAAAAACACTAACTACGTCCTTATTGACATCAGTTTTAATTAAGCGTTTAATTAAATATAGCAAAATTCCTTAAAAATTTCTTTACGATTAGCAAAATATTCGTGGTTCAAGGTACGATTTTCATTTACAGTGAAGTCTTAAATGAGTTGTGTTAAATCGTAACTCAGGTAAGAAAATAATTTATTATTATTAATAATGCGACAATAAGGGTAGTATCATTAAGTATATTGCTTAAATAATCTTTTTAATAACAAAACAAAGTAAAAAATTACAAGTTTTCTTTATAAAATAAGCTTTGTGTGACTACACAGCATCAAAACAATTATCGATTTTTTTAATAAAAAACACTCTGCAGTTTTTAAAATGAGGTCTGTGTAAAAAATTATGAAAGGCAACATCAATTCGCAAACCGATTTTAACAAAATTTCAAATCAATAAATCAGTCCCATTTTTGCATTTACTCCGTAAATTAGTGAATAATGTCTCGATTTAGAAGCACTTTAAAGAATAAAGGAATTCACTCTTCAGTTAAATAATATTTAGTAAAGACTTTTCAAAAGATCAAAACATCGTGCTACAAAAGACAGTTGGGGAGACTAAGAAAGTGTCAGATGTACTGAATTAAAAAATTTCTAGACTTGCAAAATAAAGAAATACTTGAATTAAAAAAATGTCAATCCAGACTTTTCAAAACATCGTGCTATAAAAGACAGTTGGGGCGACTAAGAAAGTATCAAACGTACTGGATTAAAAAATTTCTAGACTTGCAAAATTTCTTAAAAAAATGCTTAAATTTAAAAAATGTCAATCCTGACTTCTCAAAAGTTCGTCCTACAAAAAACAGTTGGCAAAACTAAGAAAGTATCAAACGTACTGGATTAAAAAATTTCTAGACTTGCAAAATAACATTTAAAAATTTCTTAAAGAAATGCTTAAATTAAAAAAATGTCAATTCAGACTTTTTAAAACATCGTGCTACAAAAGAAAGTTGGGGAGACTAAGAAAGTGTCAAATGTACTAGATTAAAAAATTTCTAGACTTGCAAAAAAACATTTAAAAACTTCTTAAAGAAATGCTTAAAGTTAAAATATGTCAATCTTGACTTCTCAAAACATCGTCCTACAAAAAACAGTTAGAGAGACTAAGAAAATATCAAACGTACTGAATTAAAAAAATTCTAGACTTGCAAAATAACATTTAAAACTTTCTTAAAGAAATGCTTAAATTAAAAAAAATGTCAATGCAGACTTTTCAAAACATCGTGCTACAAAAGACAGTTGGGAAGACTAAGAAAGTGTCAAATGTACTAGATTAAAAAATTTCTAGACTTGCAAAATAACATTTAAAAATCTCTTAAAGAAATGCTTAAATTAAAAAAATGTCAATCCTGACTTCTCAAAACATCGTCCTACAAAAAACAGTTGGGGAAATTAAGAAAGTATCAAACGTACTAGATTAAAAAAAATCTAGACTTGCAAAATAACATTTAAAAATTTCTTAAAGAAAAGCTTAAATTAAAAGATGTCAATTCAGACTTTTCAAAACATCGTGTTACAAAAGACAGTTGGGGAGACTAAGAAAGTGTCAAATGTACTAGATAAAAAAATTTCTAGACTTGCAAAAAAACATTTAAAAACTTCTTAAAGAAATGATCAAATTAAAAAAAAATGTCAATCCTGACTTCTCAAAACAACGTCCTACAAAAAACAGTTGGGGAGACTAAGAAAGTGTCAAATGTACTAGATTAAAAAATTTCTAAACTTGCAAAATAACATTTAAAAATTTCTTAAAGAAATGCTCAAATTAAAAAAAATGTTAATCCAGACTTTTCAAAACATCGTGCTACAAAAGACAGTTGGGGAGACTAAGAAAGTATCAGATGTACTTGATTAAAAAATAAAGCAAAATTCCTTAAACAATTTATTTAAAATTAGAGAATGGATTTTATTAGAACTGTAATTCAGGTAAGAAACTTTATTCTTTATGCAATAAATAATTCGTTTATTTAAATATTGCGTAGTTAGCTTAATCATCAAAATATTTTGTTTTGAACTCTATGAAAAATGCGAGGATTGAATTCTTAATTTCATTTTATAACTTTGTAAAAGAACTATAACTTTTTTTTCTTCATGTTACAAAACTACACAAATCGTTTTTCTGTTAGTATAACTTACTTTTTGCCATTCTCATAATGGCTCAATTAATTTGACTTGTCTTTGTGATGTAACAAGAAATAAAATCTTACCATTGAAAAGCGTTGAAGTGGAAATAAACCAAGCCAAGTCCGTACAGGAAAGTGGGGTCCATCCAGTGGTTTTCCGCCTGTACTTTATAAAACATCTGATATGCAGAAAGGGCTGAAATCGAACTCTTTTAGCTCCTGTTTTGCAACCAAGTCTTTAAAATTTACCCTTCCTGTACTCCTCCAACAACAAATGAAAATGCCCCAACTTAACCCAGGTTTTTGGATCAATACTGATCTTTTTTGACATTTGCTGATAATTGTTGGGTTCATTTTCATCCTGGATTTTCTGTTGCCGTCTTGCTTGGACAACCATCAATTGCAAATACTTAACGGCCTTAAAAAAATCAATAAGGTCTGAGACAAGCAGTGTCTTATTTTCTACCTTTAAAACCAGCTCTCGTTTTTTCTCATTTTCAGGAAGATGTAGAAGCAGGAAACCGTATTGGCGGCTGTTGATTCAAATAACGTTAAAATATTTCATAGTGGCATAAATCACACGAAATACCTATCCAATTCCGAGAGAATATGAAGCTCCTGAGCCGTCATACTGATGTCATCTAAATCTTCAGCACGAGTGCTAGATTTATTCATTTTTGCTACGAGATAAATAATCACGCAGTAGCGAATTTATATTTTTACTGTATCAATCAATTAATAACGCAATTTAATTAATAAAAGGAATTACACGAAATCGACGTATAATACCATGTTGAAAACACTGATATACTGTCAAAAAACACAATGTGGCCTTGACGTCTGTCAACGCTAATATTTGACAGCCGTATCACATTTCAGGTCATTTGAGCCCAAAATTGACCAATATTACTATTTTCCCACATTGAGAAAACCCCATTTAAAGTTATTTATCAAGAAAACAAAAAACTAATTTAATTTTTAGCCGTATGCCCACCTTTTGTACCTAAACCCTTGGATTAATTTAAGCGCCCAGTTTAAATTTTTTGAGGACACTTTGTAAAACCCCATAAGAAAACAAATTCACTCTTATTTCATACTTTATATCATTGATAACAAAGTATTCGTATTATCTTTAAATTTATAAACAACGTTATTTGATAGTCAAGCGGAATCTTCAAGTGAGACATTCCATTTACAACAAAAACATAAAATAAATATGTGGTTGATTTTAAAACAAATTGATGACAATTTTGTGTCATTTTTAAATAAAATTAAATTACTGTTTTTTTATTATTTTGTGTGAGAACACCTTTGTCTTATTATTTTGGAGGATTGGATTCACAGAATACACAAAAAGTATAGAGCGAGGGATTACTTAATGCAAAAAAACAAAAACTAAACAGGGTTAATTACAAAATACAACACAAAAACGTACTTTTCTGACAACTCCGTGCGTTTTTGTTTTTAAAAAAATAATAGTGTGCAATAAATTTGGTAATGAGTGATAACTGAGGCAACAGTTTTTCAGTTAATTGTAATAATTAAATTTTGAAAATTGTAAAAATTGCTTAAATACATGGGTTTCAAGCTTAGTCATAAGTAAAATATGTGTTTTGTTTATTTTTTGCTGGAAGAGTTTAACGTTACGTCAATCTAGGATTTCATGTTATGTCATTGGTTGTTGCGCTATCATCCATGTTGCTTTTTGACTTATTTTTACTTTTGGATTGTGAATTTGTGTGTGTATTAAAAACCCGACTAAAAAAATGATTTTGTGAGAATGAAACTGATTTATTGAATGATTCCACATCAGACACTGGATAATATTATTGATGTTGTGACTTACCAATTCAAGAATGGTTCGCAAACGAGGTAAATATACACAGAAACTAGTGAAATATCTTAAGTGTTTATCAATACTCGATGAATTTTACCCATTAGATCACAATAAAACGAAAGGTCCGTTCTAAATGATGAACGTAATGGATTTGTCTCCAATCATAAATGAATTTGACACACCTTTCCTTGTAGACAGTGGCACTGAAAGTTTTACCGAAAGCCCTGTTGCAGAAGAAGAGAGTGAGCATTCGGAGGATTCAACAGTCTGTGACATTGGTAACAAGTCATGAAACAGACAGAAATTGATAAAAACTACGTTTTTATAGATTCTTCATGTATACAAAAATGCCCCTTGCATATCCTGGACAAAGACGTCTCAGTGGACGAAGATATTTTAGCAGTTCCTCTAGAACCCATACGCACTCATACCGAGCCAAGTATTCTAGAACCTAAGGAAGATGAAACCACCCTACCTTCCATTTTACGAAGGGAGTCTTCCACTTCAACAACCGTCAGGAAGGTCTCATTCCCCAAGGAGGAGACGGAATTAGCCACGTACAGGGAGCCCGAAAACGACTGTCCTTGGACCATACGTAAGCACTCACAAATCACTCAAGTTACATAACAAAATTTACAACTTCAGATGAGTATTTGCCCCCTGAAAAAATCCTACAAATTTATCAAGCGTCCTGCAAGCAACATAAAACGATAGAATTGGACATAATAAAAAATCTAATAATGGTATGTCAATGTTGATGAATTCCTCGTTATATAATGAGTCTTGGTTGTAGGAAATTAAGAATAACACAAATCATTCAGCAGTATTGAACTTATCGATGATAAATATAACAAATGAGGTGAATGAGACGTTGGAGGACCTGTTAAAAGTATCGAATTTCCGCACTTTGGTATTATACGAATGTAAATTCACGTCGGAGACGATAAGCGAATTCCTGAACATGCTTGAATACTATGGCTCAGTGTGTGATATTGAAGTTGCGATGAATTTTGACGAAACGGCGTGGAAATGTTTCTGTAACGCTTGTACAAATATAACTGTATTAGAGGCCATTTCTTTCAAAGGCATGGTCATTAATGAAAGTTACATGCGGATGTTACTTAACGCCGTTAAGAGTAACACTAGAATCACAACGTTAAAATTTGACGCTTGTATGTTGATCAAGTTACCGTCGTTTTACTTGGGTGAGTATCACAAAACACTTAACTGCATTTAACTACTGGAAATTTCAGTTGAAAGTTTAATGACAAACACGACTCTGTGTGAATTATATCTACCTTCGACCGGACTTTATACAAAAGAAGCTGATTGTTTGGGGCGTTTTCTTCAAAAAAATTTCACACTTAAAGTACTAGACATAAGTAACAATTTTATCGGTGACCGGGGGTTGGAAGTACTAGCTAAAGGTCTCACGAAACAGACAACGGCAGGTTGTGGCCTCTCTGTTTTACTTGTTTTCAATAATCAAATCACGGAGAAAAGCGGAACGGTTATTAGTAGTATAATTGTAAGATTTGAACACTTGAAATTTGTAAATTATTTGATCGGTTTTAGTCCGAGTGTAAAAATTTGCACACACTTAATATCGGTTATAACCACTTGACCGATGCTGTCATTTCCGATATAGCCCCCAGTTTGGAGGTGACGACGTCACTGGAGGGGCTAGGACTCCAATGCACGCTCCTGACGTGTAAAGGAATCGACTACTTGGCGAATGCTATCGAAAATAATAACTCGTTACAAGTATGATTCGATTTTGTAAAAATTGATTAACTGATTATTCTGTTGTAGAAAATTAATTTGAAGGGGAATAAAGCGATTCAAGTCCCCGGGTTAGAACGCCTGTGTCAGGCTTTAACATCGTCGAAAATTTCCAAAATCGAAATCGATGAAACCAACCGTTCGTCTCATGTAAGTGTCTTGTTTTATTTCAGTACTGAAATTGCGCACGCAAATTTAGTACCGAAATTAGTTGAAGTTACTAGAAGTTCTGTATGACACATAAGTACTGAAATAAGTCTATGAACATGCGCATTGATCTTGCTACAGACCGAAAGGACTGTCAGTTGTCAATTTTAAGCACGGACATTCAGTTCCCTACAATCCTGAAAAAATATTACAGATATTTCATCTGAAAGTATTCTTAAATGAGTTATATAAAATTTAAAGCCAAGTTTAACATTTGCGAATAATTCTCTTTAATTAAAAAGATCGAAAAACTTTAGATTTATAACAAATACAATCAAGGGGTTGTAGAGAATAAAATTTTCTTGAAGAGAATGTTAAAGAGATTTTTATCTCCAACCGTTTTTGAACGTTGAAATAGGCTAAATGGAATTGCAGTTTAATGTCTGGTATTAAAAACACTACATTAGTTAGCTTTAAAAAATAAATATTTTGGAGTTCTGTTATGTAGAGTTCAAAGAAACCAAGAAGGATATCGATAGGCGGAGCCAATGCGTACTCGGTGTAGTGGGGAAACTTGAGCAGTGGCGTAACACAGAACCATTCTTTGATAAAAAGGGAATTGTAGAGTTGCATTTTTTTGTATATTTATTGACTGAGATATTAAATATAAAAAATTCGTACGATGCTCCATGATTATTTCAAATATACAGTGATATTAATTTCTGTATAAATAAAATACGAACAAACAGTAACGAATAGATTCGTTTATTAAAAATGTAAACATATTAAAAAACAATTTTTGTATCATAATTAATTTTAATTAATTTTTCAAAGTTAACATTTATAAGATGCTCCTGTTAATAAGTAGCTATATTAAACATTTTTAGTGATGTTTTGTTTTCATACCTAGTCAATAAGATGTAAGAAGATGAACCCTCAAATTTTTACAACAATTGTTATGGGTTTAAATCAGAATTACAGGCGATTAATTTTTTATATAACTGATGGGCCTTAGTAATTTCAAATTGTCACTTTATATTCGTAAGTCAAAATGGAATTTTTTACTATAAAACTAATAAAATATATTTACTATTCTTATAGTTAATGTTTTGTAGGTATACCTACATTTGATAACTGATTTAAAATTAATTTTTTTCATTATACTACAATATAATGTATTATGTAAAAAAAAAATATAGGTACATCTGCAGCTCAACTGCAATTAGTGATTAGACTTGTGGTTTGGAAATGGACTTTATTTTGATAATAATTTGAACCTTGTTGAACAATTTCTAATAACTTTCTCAATTTATAAAAGAACAAATGCTTGAAAAATGTTATTTATTAACAAAGTAATAAAATATTTTCATTACAGTATATGGATTATTTGTTTTCTTCAAATAAATAAGTGCGAATACACGCCACTGCTCTCAGCTGATTTCAGAACTCCCTTATATTTACGAATGTAAATACGACCTCTAATATGTAACTGAAATTCCATTCAATTGAGGAAACTATTTAAAAAATGTTGAGGGACGTTAGTTAATTCACCACTTATTGATTTAGCATTACTTTAAAATTTGTGATAGTTTGTTATATTTATTCTTTGTTACATTACAAATTCCTGCAATATTACTCTTTATTTTACAAAATTAGATATTAAAGTAAATAATTAATAGAAAATGCATTTTGAAGATAAACTATTGATTTGAAAACAATAACAAATAATAACAGATTTTCTGCAATAAATTGTTGATTTTTAAAATTTACAATATTGTGGGATACTTAATACGTTTCTTTTGATAACAGGGCGTGGTAGCATAAACACAATTTCAAAAAATTACCCTTGAACATTTTTCTAGTTTTAAACAAAAGCTCGTAAAGCGTGTTAGTTATAATATTTCTGTTTTTACATTCGAATATTTTAAATTTACGCTCTATTTTCTTGCATCCAAGCTAACTAAAATTACGCGCGCAATTTCAGTACTGAAATTAGTCTCGTGTCAGACAGCTCTTATTGATAGAGATTGAAAATAATACTTTCTAGGACCCTCAAGCTTACGTCCAACTAGTGAAAAAAATCAACGCCATTTGCACCGTAAATAAGAATTTTAAAGAGTCAAGTAGTGACGAAATCGCCACTATTTCGCAGCTAGTTTCGCGGAAGGTCTCCCTGAGTTGTGAGCCCCGCTATGTGGTTCCCGAGCCGACGGCGGGGACGACGCCGGTGTCGGTTGAGTCGCCGATCCTGTCGCCTATGCCGTCGTCGCGCCCCCCTAAAAACCGGTTTCAAATAACCAAAGTACAAGACCCCAACACACGTCCCATGTCGAGGTTTAAAGTAACGAGAGTTATCTCGTCGCCGGATGAAGACTTGGCCATTGGTAAATTCGCAAATGTGAGGAGTAGTGTGTCTTCAAATGACAGCGTCGACTCTCTTCAACTTGACGTTGATAGTGATAGAGATTAGTTAGGCAGATTTTTGTATTAGTTCTGTGATAAGAATTTTATACATAAGTTAGTTGTTCAAATTTTATTGATTACTGCCTTATGAAGCGAAAATTATAGTTCAAATGTATTTTCTTGCAGCAGTTTAGTTTTCTTAGCCGTGATATTTTTGCAGGGTTTGAAGGAAGGGCCCAAAGTTCACCCCTCCAATGTATAGGATAGTGTTTTTCTGGGGTTTTAAATGTGCAGTTTTTACGTACTTCCAAAATTCATCACAATCCCAGAAAAAAAAAAAAAAAAAAAAAAAAACTTAAGTTAGTTACGCAGCTATGACTTATTGTACGTACCATAAATGCAAAATCCCTAATTTTAACGTGCATACCTTCCCATTTGTTCTTAATTCATGCACGGATTCCAGTCAACATTACATCCCTATTTTGTTCAAAACTGTTACAGTGATAAAGGGTTAGACGATCCAAGACTTATAAGTGTTTTATGTGCAATTTTCGTACCTGGCGGTGCAAATAAATTTATTTATTGTAACACGGAGTTAGTTTTAGCAACCGTACAAACCTCATTTCTTTGTTGTATTGTTTTGGGCATGCTGGAGCATGTTTTTTGGTTATACGTTTTTTAATTAGCTTTAAATGAGAAGTAAGGCCGACAGAAACAATGTTCGATGTACATACCAGTCGAATAATTTGTTTTGGGACTTGTTTCTGAGTCTTACAGAGTACTCAATGTGTTTAAATAGGGAATAGTAATTTAACCAGTTGTAAAATAAATATATTTTTTATATGAACGTTGTTAGTAACTTGGGATACGATAATTAGAAATAGCAAATTTTGGTACAAACTGTAGAAAGTCAAAGTTTTATTGCAAACATCTGTTGTTTAAAGCATGCACTATGCATTTCATTACTATAGTTTATATTTATGTGTATGTGATAAATGCATGTGATAAATAAAATATCTTAAAGAGTATTTTAACAAATAACCAATATTGTAGAGAAACTTGTAATTAATTATTTATAATAAATTGAACGTTTATTGAACCGTGTCATACACAGCAAAGTACCAATTTTTGACTACCTATCATCGACCATTTTTGTGCCTAAAATTCGCAAAATCACAGGGTCTCATGTATTGTTACTTACCATTGGAGTGTTGTCAATTATAACAATCCCTTCTGTTTGTCACTTGTTTGTATTAATTAACTCAATAAATAAGATCAGTACAATTAACAGCAGCCAAACCCTTTCGACGGTTGAAATTCTTTAGTACCCACCTTGTTTTCGATTTATGATCACAGTTCTCAAAACATCAATCATTTTTAACTTTACTTTATTTCTTTTGTTATAAATCACAATGTATATAATATATATCTATGTATTTATAGGTCTGTGAAATATACGTACTATCTACTTTAGGAATTGAAATAATATTCACATGGAAAATGTTAACTGAGATCAAAATTGATTAAAATTAATTATATCTAGAAAAATAATCAAAGCGATTCTAATTTTACTATTTCCTATACAAGTTGCAAATTTTAACAATTACAAAAGTTAGTTACGTAAGTCCTCGATTAACCGCAGAGTGAACGTCTTAAAATTGACAACCTGTATAATAGAGCGTTTCAAAGAAGTACAGTTTGAATACACAAAGATTCACTATAGAGATCATTAGTTACAAAATGCTACATTTAATGAAACAGGTTTTACGTATTTAAAGCCATAATGAATAAATTAAATGAAATCTATATTTGGAAGTTAAAAAATATTAACAATACTAATTAATACAAATAAATTTAAAAAGCATCATGTATTGCAATAGCCTGAACTTAACGAATATTCTTACAGCTAAAAGCTTGGCGAAAACCAACCCATATTTGCAGCCTTCATTAAAACTGAAACAATGCAATTCCGTCTGCACATATAGGCCAGTATTGTGAATACAGTCAAGTGCTTAAAACAGAAACCTAATCTAACGTTTTGAGCACCAGTAAACTAACGAAACAGCACCTTTGTTCGGTGGAATAAAATAACATCGATATGGCAACATTTAGTGCCGATAAAAGTGCAACTGTGATCATAAACATACAAATATACACTCCAGTCATCGCAACAATAACAATTGGAAAATTGCACAAACTAAATGTTGTTCAACTGGCTCGTCAAAAGGGGGAAATAACTCACAATCAAGATTTGTTATTTATTACAATGTGGCTTAGATTTATAAAATCAAAACATCTATGTTTCACAACATATTAACAATGATTTACTTAAATTAGTCCGGTGACAGCCAAATTGAAAACATTGCATTTTGGATCAAATAAATTTTTTTAAAATAGTGATTTAATATCCGATAACATTTTACATGGCAATACAACTACTAAGTGTATAATTAATAAAATTTCGATACAATAAATTATATAAAATGAATACAAATGACATGCACAGGGATTTACAATTGCACTACGCCAACAACTGACTTTACCAAGTCCAATTGTTCTTTCTCTCTCTATATCTACAGCATATTCTGATCACGATTACAGAACATGAAGGGATTTTCACTAACCGTTCTCTTCAGTTAATCTGACGATAATATATGAGAAGGAAGACAACAAGTTATTGCACATTACTAGCTAACTACTAGAGGATACATTTAACGGTTCTGCTGGAGTGACTGGACTACTTTGACTATTTGCACTGTGCGGAGTTAAATTATTTCGCGCCATTACTTTTTGTCTTACTTCACGAATTTTCAACTGCAAACTGGCTTTACTCGGAAATATATCAGAATGCTGTGATTGAAAGTTCGAAGTCGCTTGAGCCGACGGAAAATAAGTGTGTTCGTGAAACAATTGCATCACTAATTGACGACGCTGCTCTAGGATTTTTCTGTGCCCCTTCTCCGACTCCTTCGACGTTCCTGGCGTGCGGGGGGTGCGTGGGGAGTTGCCCTCCCCCATCTCGTTCATTTCTAAAACCACCAAATTACAAAAAAAAAACAGTTTTGTGTTGTTTTTAGTTGAAAATGAAACGCACCTCGAACATTGTCCACATTGAAGTCAGGCCCGAAGAACACCGCCGGTTTTAGAGACGAAGACGATTTGGGTACCGACTGAGGAGTTTCACTTTCTGATTCCTCATCAACTGATGATCTATTCGTCAAACTAAGATTTCGTTTCTTATATGCGAAAAGACCCGGACTTGAGGACGAAATAGCACTTGGTGATTGACATTCTTCTGGTTTAAATTGAGGCAACGAGCAGAATTTTTTCTCGAAGTTGACTTGATCCAACACCCTGGTTTCATCTCAATTAATTAACGAAAACAAAAAACAATCAAACTTACTTATCCATCCCGTCTTCTTTATTACGTTTAAAAAGACTCTTTTTCGTCACTGGTGACACAAGGCAGTCTTGTGGTGAACTATCACTAGTGGGAGGAGGCGGTAAAGGGACCGACGGTTCACTAGTTACTTGCGTTGTATTATTTGAAGTTGTCGGAGCTGGAAAAAAATTATTAAATTTTGGGTTAGGTTGGTACACCCGGGGAAAAACTATTCACTGTACTTGGGCTTTTTGTGAAAATTACTTCAATGAGCATAGATTATAACGTATACATTAAATTGTGATTATAATAAACAAGATTAAGTTTAAAGAGGAAAAAAATTTTTACCTTTGATTTTACGCCAGAACTGCAAAAGAAAAACATTTTTAGCTTGACTTGGCTTTTAAGGTTCTTTATCTACAGCTTTCAAAAATCAAGATTGTAGAACTGGTGTTAAATGCCAGAATTTTTTAATAAACTGTGAATTTTGCCAATTTCTATCAAATTATTTCCTTTATAATCAAAATTCTGAACTTAATAATTATAATAGACAATCAAAAGGAAACAAATTTTTACCTTTGATTTTACACCCAAAAAGTAAAGGAAATACTTTTTTTCTATAGCAGATGTTAAACTATTTCTTTGTAAACTCTTTTGAGTAGATATAGTAACACTTTAACAGCAAGGGATGATTTTGCTTTATCTGAAACGAGCAAATCTGTAAATAAAACTTCATTATTCTGACTCAGTACAAAGAAAAGTTAATTTTTTTCTTACTTTTGGACTTGTAATAATAATCTTTCTTTGCTTTTCAAGTCTCATCACATTGGCTGTTTTTCTGACTTGCCATTTATTAAAATTATGTTTTTTTACAAACAATTTTGTTATTTAACTTGTGTTAACTTATCTGTCAAAGCGACATCGTCAAAAAAATAAAACGCCAATGTGATGGGATTTAAAATGCAGAGAAAAAATTACACTAGTTTATACGATTTTTATACCTTAGCTGAAAATTATAATTTCTTATAGATTTTGAGGCACTGAGTTCAAAAAAAAACTATTATATGTAATTAACAAAAATACAATAACCGCAAAAGTACAAATTAACTTTTTTTATTATACTTTTTTGAATTAGTTTTCTTTATAACAATCCAACAGAAATCTACTAACATATTTTCATCTAAAAAACCTTCGTGTCGATCTTTGAAAACCCTTCAGATCTGGATGAAAACGCACTAAATTTTTAGAAAAAAAGTTCAAATGCGAGTGAAATGTTTTTAAGACCTATTTAGACCCATAAGGCAATAATTCAGTAACAATTTGAATTTAAATAAATTTAAAATCGGAAGCATTTGTGCAGAAGCAGGAAAATTATCATCTGTAACAAAGTGTGACGTGATAGAAAAATTTAACAATTATTTTTGTTTAAGTAAGTTACCTTAAAAATAATAATTCGATTAAAGGTATATTAAATATGTTATTGTTTGTAGACTATAGTATTATTAGTTATTACAAGCTCAAAATCAAGAGAAAAATAAAATTTTCTTTCCACTGAGTGAAAATAATGAACTTTTAAAGTTACAGACTTACTGGTTTGTTTTTCTTTTGCAGTGTTAGCGTAAAATAAAAAATAAAAAAATTCGGGGACATACTGTATAATATTAGATATTATTATTATTATGGCATTAAATTTACCACTTTGGGTTTTTTTGATTTGTTTAGAAGTAATAAAAATAAATATAAAAAACGGAAGTAACTATTTGTAACAAAATTAAAAGTAAATCACAAAAATTTTGTTAAGGTAATGAAATACATGAGCATGAATTTTTTTTCCTAAAATTTGCTTAGTGTCATTTTGCAAATTATTATAATCACCATTTAATAATCTACACTCATTGAAGAAATTTTCAGAAAAAGACCGTTTTGAGTTCCGAGTTAGTCGGAAACACTATTGCAACAAAACGCAGTGTGAGCAGAAAGCTAGACTAGTGAATAATTTTTTCCTCGGGTGTACCATGCGATCGAAAAAAAAATTGAGTAGGCAACGATTAATATTCTACAGTTGGCAACAACTTTTGCTGGAATTTTCCACACAAACTGGAAGTTTCTTCTACAGCAACAATCAAAATTTTCTGCTCTAAAGTGAATAGTATTTCACTCAAAATGATTAAAACGCAAACAAAAATCAGGATTGCCACCTGAAGAATTTTAGTATTGTTAATTTACCCATCGATTGTCGCCTTTGCAACGGTGCTTTCCCCAACTGTGCCGGAGTTGGCGCTAACTTAAACTCCTTTTTCACAGCATCAGACTGTGTGGAAGTTTTCGAAACAAGTTGCACCGGAACTGACAAATTTCGTCCGTTTGAATCCGACACTGTGAATGGGGGCGGCATGTAGACATACTGTACAGGTTGTTCCGATGCTGTAGACGCAACCACAACCACCGGTTGTGACCTTTCCGTATCATTTGATAAACAAACCGATTGGCCTGTAAAAATCGCAACTGTGACCGGTTGTTGACTCCCAAATTGACTATTCTGATGACTATCGCCGATTTGAATCACTGATTTCGCTTGTGGTGCTTGCTTAAAAGCGCCCCCTGTTGGTTGAAAACCAGTCACACCTGAGGGATTCACTGGCGAGTAATGAAAACCCAAAGTACTTGAACTCGCAGCTGGACTAAACTTTGTCGAACTATCGGATGTTGGCATTATTGCTTTAATCGGTTTAGGCCTATAGGTGACGTCAGTTCCGGTTTTAGAAACGGGACTAAATCGCTGATGGGGGAAGTTCCGGTTTTCGCCGCCTTCTAAATCACTCTGAGACTCGGAGTCCGAATCAGTCACTTTTTCTTTACATTTCAAGTCGATTTCAACAGCTCCGGGCTCCTCGATTATGACCATTTGGTCGTCATCTGACACGTCTCCGGGATTGTCTGGGATGATTTGGCGAGAGGGCTCTGCTAACGGAGCTGGGGAATTTAAGGCTTGAGGGCTAATTGGGACTTCGCCCACTTCGGCACTGTCTCCAGTTGAACTCAATTTGCTTCGAGTTGAACCAGTTGAGGATTTTCTACGGTCTTTGTTACACCATTTCCACTCCGGATGTGCCTTAAAATGTGCCTCTTTCACCTCCGAGGCCAACTCATGGTATTTCCTCTTCTGTTCCGGGCCTAAAGCATACCACCACTCACCCAAAATCTTCGATACGGTTCTGTTATCCTGATTCGGATGTCTTTGATGCACTAACGCCCGATGTCGTTTCGAAAAAATCATAAAAGCGTTCATAGGTCTCCTAATCCGGTCCTTATTCTACAAAACCAAACTCAAGATTAAAATTACTCAAACTCAATTAATTACCTTGACTAAATTATTATCCTTAGGAGTTTGTAGCGAACTCAAGGATTGTGTCCGACGTTTACTAGTTGAATTTTCGTTCAAATTCGCATCTGTTGGTTCATTTTCAAAAACATCATCGTCTTCCTCGGCCGGAATTGGCATCAATTCTTCACCATCGTCGTCAGGTACGTCGATTTTGATCGCCGTTATTGGGACAGGGGGCGCCGATAACGGGGGTGAGAGCTCAGAAGGGGGCGGTGAGTTGGATTCAGGACAAGCGGTCAAAATCGGCACTATTGAATGCCAAGGAATCATAAAAGCCGATTGTGAATTCGTCGAGATTTTAGGTTGGGGGACCACAGGTCGTGGAGGAGTTTGAGTGAATTGAGGGGAGGTAACGGTACGTGATTGAACGGAAATACGAGACTGCGATGGATGATGAATTACTGGATCCTTGTGATTCTGTTGCAAATTCGATGAAACTAGAGGAAAATTCAATAAAATTAAATCACTCGTGGAGTTGAATCACAAACCTTGCTCCGTTTTGACGATCACTGGAGGTGTTGGCTGAACGGTCCCACTTGGAATCACCTTTTTTACAACCGATTGTGATGCAGAAGGCAAAACAGGTAACAGCTGAGTTGGATTGACTATAACTGGTAGTAGACTTGCATTAGTTGAGTGCATTAGAACAGTTCCTAGATCAACACATTCATGCAAAATTACAGAGAAGGGGACGCGACGGGTTTTTACCTGATTGGATTTGGGCATTTTCGGTTTCGACAGGCTGGTTTGTTGTCAATGCCTGTTGAAGGATTACGCCTTGTTGGTGCTCAGCTGAGTTAGGGCCCCACTGACGAGGACTGGACGTCAGGCGAATAACACTTGGGACCCCTTGGATCGGCCGAACTGACTCGGGCCTAACAGAAACAATTTTTTTGACTACACTGCCACCTACACAATTTCTGAAACATGTTTCAGAACTCGCGCACCAGAGAAAAATTCCAAGTAAGATAAGATACCAGGAACATGGAAAAAATTCTATCTACGAAAAAAAAATGTCTCTTTAATGTTATTGATCTTTAATTATCTAGTAAAGGTACAAAAATATTGCCAATAAAAGCCACAAATAAGTTACAATCTAGAATCCAGCTTCCTTGTTTGCAAAATTTAAACTCTATATTATACATAGAATTTTTTCATTTATTCCATGTTACCATTTTACCGAGGCGCGAGTTCTAAAACATCCTGTATTTTTTTTTATATCAACAGATTTCGTATTTGCATATAAGTTGCTGATATTATTAGACTATTACATATCTTGGTTTTTAAGTGAAACGTAAAAAACAAAACTGACCCCCGACTTCGGGTTAGGAGCAGTTTGTAAGACTTTGTATCTCGTAAAAAGACTGAACATAGAGCTGGAAGAGACACCATCTTATTTTTAAAACCTTAAGTCTCCTGGTCCTTCAACTAATATAACAGATTTTTTTTTGTGAAATATATTTCAAAACAATTCTGTTTTCTAAAGTGAAATAAAATTCGGAATTCTAAACGATTCTAAAAAATTGCTCTCGAATTTTTATATTTTTAAAACAATGACTTGACTGAGCTCACATTGTACAAGGTGCCCAAGTTTTAGGGTCTACACAAAAATAAATAGTTATAATTGATTTAAAAAAATAATAGTATAAACGATAGAGGATTAAATACACTTTTATTTGATGTTTTGATATTGTACAAAAGCTTTGGCATATGGCAATGAGATCTTAAAATTTGAATTTGGAGAAATAAAAAATCAATTAACTGGAATATTTTCTATATGATAAAATTCTTTGATTTTTTTGTGGTATTTGAGAAAATAGAATAATGATAAACTTTATAGATTTTAATATTGGAAATCTAAAACTTAATAATTTGAGGGGGGGTTGCGGCAATTGATAATTTCTTGACAAAAGAAAAAAGTCCGCGATGACATTATGACGTACCCGAGCTCGATCATCATCTCAAACTTGGCCATAAATTAGCAGAATTCCCAATTTTTAATATTAAAATGTTATTTACTCAAAATCTATCAACTTTTACATTATTCAATTTTGACAATTACCATTAGAAGAAAATCAAAGAATTTTATCATGTAGAAAAGATTCCAAGTTTTTGAATAATATTAAAGCATCAAATTGAAGTCTATATAATCCTCTATTCTGCACTAGTAATTTTTTTTTTAATCAATTAGAAATATTTATTTCTGCGCCGGGCCTAAAACTTGGAACACCCTGTATTTTCAACAAATAATCCAAACGTGTTTAAATGATTGCAATATTGTAAATTTCCATGAATAAAATAGATATTATTCGTGGAATTTTAACCACGCTTGTAAAAAAATCAAATTCTACAGCCTGTCATTTTTTTATCGTTTTCGAACTGTACGGAATTAAAAATTCTGCTGGTAACAACTTTTTGACAATTCTTTTTCCCGTATTTCATAATCATTGATAAAGGTTTCACAAACACTAAAAAAATATTTTCAGTGTTCTAAGTTTTTTCCCAGGAAGACAGTGATTAAATTATCAGGTGTGCATATTTAAGAACGGTCAGTCTTCGATTAACTTTCAACGTGTTCGGTGCGTTTATATTGATTGTTTAATAAAATATTAGTGCAAAAGTGCAATAGATAAAAAATGCAAAAACACAACGTGGTAAAAATGGTAAGTACAGTGGAGCTCCTGTATAACGAGTCCCGGTTATAACGAGTAAATCGTCTGGTCCCTTGCCGATTTGTATACTACTCTGCAAAATTCTCCCTCTATAGCGAGAATTCTTCTGGAATTGAGGTGGATATAACAAAACTTTTATTTTGTGTAAGAATATAACAAAACTTTTATTTTGTCTAAGATCGGTAATAACGCGGAATTCTGAGAAATTTCAGAAACAGATCGGTTATAACGAGAGTTCCTAGAAGGAAAAAAAATCCTGCCAGTCTCTATTACGTATTGTGTACTAGAATTTTTTTGGAAATGTTGTTTTTGCGTGCTAATGGTCTTATTTTTCTCATTTTCTCAGTCTCGAATAACTTTTTAAACAGAGAACACTTCGTCTTTCTGTATCAGTATGTCGTCCACAAAAAGAGAAACATTTTCGTTCAAAGAAAAATATCAATAATAAAGTGATAAAAAACAAGCTGTAATCAACAAAGAGAAAAATTTAGCCAGTTCTACATTGGCAACAATTTTAAAGAACAGTGACAAGATTACGAGTTCAACAGGTGAATTTTTGTCAAAATGCTAAATTAGATAAAGCCGTTCTTACTTGGTTCAAAGTGAATCATGCCCATAAGTGGGGCCATGTTCAGAACAATTTGCAGAAAAAATTGGGGATAATTTAGAGATGAAATTTTTTGTTATTCGGTGCTTCCACCTTACCACGATATCTTTTTCTATAGTCTTGTACAATTGTAAATGCAATTGATAAGATAAAAATGCTTCATTACAAAAACAAACAAAAATTACAGATTCTTTTTCTTAAACTTCTTTAATATTCGTATTTAATAAATAATTTGCATAGTTCATGTGTAAGTGACTGTTTATAGCGAAAATCGGTTATAACGAGACCTCTTGAATTCTCGTTATAGAGGGGTTCTACTGTAGGTACCACAGTGACAAACTTAATGTAATTTTTGTGAATCCACATTTTTAGTACAATGAATTTTAATTTTTGTTTGGTTGTACCTTAAGGGTAAGGGTTGGTGATATGCTGTGTTGTATCCTTGGGGTCCTGGCGAGTTGATTTTCTGCAAGCCTGGACTGATAATAGGCATAAAAACGTTCTGCCTAGACCCGACTGTTATCGGTGACTGCATCGTATGTGGCGATGAACCTTGATGATTAGGCGAATATGCCGGTGTGGCCGACCGCGAACTACCTAACGAAACTAAAACCAAATTTGTTATTTACTTTTTAATATTATTTCTGTGAAATAGTACCCAACATATTGGCCGCATCGGTTTCTTCTTGGTCAAACCGTCCTGTAATCCTTCTATCGTTACAATTTGGTGAAGTTTCCGAATCTCTGGAAGTATCCTCACCATCTGCTTTACTATTAGAACGTGGAAACGCAGGACCACTTCGAAGGCTATTACCTTTGAGGCTAAGATGCCTTGAACAATATCCTCTCCTTTGAGATTCTTTCGTACATCCGTCTTTCGAACACAACCTCCTCCATTGTTTCCCGTTAAATTTCTTCCTTATCCCGTTTGGATTTGACACAACATCGCCTTTTTTATACTTGTGAGGAGTCGCGGCTTGACTTCGCGGAGTTGTCGGTTGAGATCGAGGAGTTATACTACTCGACGAACTCCCTCTACTATGCATACTACTCCGCTTTGAACTCCCTGAAAGCTTAGCGTCTACTTCGGAATTAAACGTAATATCACCTCTTCGCAATTCATCTTCTTCACTTTCACAATAATCGTCATAATTCCGCCCGTTCGATTGCGGGGTACACGCCGAGACCGGTGTATGAGGCGACACCGTCGTATTTGTAAAATACTCCAATTTCGGCGTTATGGAGTCCTGAATCAAGGGCTCAACCAACTCGTCGTACCAGGGAGGACGCAATAGACGCAATTCCGATCGTTTAACCGTTATTTTCAACTGTTTTTCGCCTATTACCGCCACCACAAAACGCACGACTTGTCCCTCGTTACAAATGTTAAAAACTACACCCTCCACGAACATTTGTTGCTGGTTGTGGCGGACGCAAACACGCGCCCCTAGTGTCACCTCGTTCTTCGAAGGACTCGCGTCCCCAATCACGTTGTAACACTCGTTATCAAACACGTTCGTGAAGTGCACCAGCTTCTCCTCCTTGCCGTCGAGCTCCACGGTTATCTGCAAGAAACAACAAGTTAGCAAAACAGCGACATCTATCATCTTTTCCATTCAAATGCGCATCGTAGAAGTCTTTGATTTAAAGGCAGATTTGCACAAAAAGTGTCATTTAATCACATCAAAATTTTAATTATTATTTTTTGCCACCTGGGGTACACATTTATCGAAAAAAATTTTTTGGGGAAGATTGAGGTTAGGATTGTTTGAGTTTTCGCATGGTTTCAACGACTACTTCGATGCCGAATTCTAATTTTAATGACTAGCAAGCTGTGAAATTAGCTGAATTCCTTATTTATCAGGGATTAAAAAATTGCTATCACAATCATTAAATAACAACACGGAGGTTGGCAACCAGTATCGTAATTTACGAAGACCAATATAATTAGTCACTGATTTTCTATTTTCTGTGTGATTCGGGTCCAGTTTTGGTGACTCACACTGTATACATTCCGGGCTTTGTTGTTCAAACAAACAACAAGTAAAATTTGAATGATGTAATTGGGAGAAGTGCAAAACAGTGATTACTCACATTGCTCCCTCGGGCTTCTCTGATGACCCCTGGATAGTACCAGTCGCCCTGCTTGGCTAGGACCCTATGGTCACACCACTCACTGAGATCAACGGTGTTTTGTTTATTAGTAGGGCATGAATAGTCGACAGCAGTGGCTTGTGGTGCAGTTTGTACGACAGAAACAGGAATGTACGAAGCAGTTGAGTTGTTTTCCTCCAGTTCGGAAGGGTCAAATTTTCGTTTTTTCGGCAGTTTTCGAACACCCATATCCATTTTGGTGAATTGAATGTTTTGGTTGTGGTTAGGCTCGCAGTTCGTTATGAATAGGTTCGAAACGGTTTTCCCGAGGCATTCGCATTGTACCTTCTATTTGTCAACATAGCTCCCGTGTGCATCATTTATGAAGATGTCAACTTTTGACATTGGCTAATTTTGGAGAGGCCGTGCACGACAACAACCTGTAAATCAGCGAAAGGGCTCGATTAGGCTAACTCGTCCTCGTCCACACAACAATAAACACCTACTGGTTTATGAATGGATGCTATTATACTACTGCATAGTAAATAAATATATTTAGCCGTCATGGAGATGATACTCGATCAACACGTGTAGATTCCACCAAAGCGAAACACACTCCAACTCGGAGACTCTCTATTATTAGAATTCGTCAAATGTTCGTCTCTTTCTATTACCTAACGTTTTATTTCATAGGATCACAACTTTTCGCGACACCCACAAACTCAGACACAGAAACAGAACACTCCCCTTCCTGCCCCTCGCCCCCCCCCGGTCAGGTTCATGCGTACCAAGCGCTAACCAAGGAGGTATAACAAAGCTTGGTTTACACGATTCCGGATTCGATTACACCTCAATTTTTCACACTACTCCTCCAAATCCATCGCAAAAACCCCATTACTGCCCTGAGCTGTCAAAAATCACTCCCATGGATGCCACCATAACCATAGATCAAACAAACAATAACAAGCCACAAGGCCGACTCGATCGTCGCCGAAACGATCTTGTCATCTTGATTCGAGAAGAGGCGCCAATTTCTATTTATCAAAAACAATTTCGAACTTAAATGTCACTCACCTCCCAATTTACTAAATTTGGCAAAAATTATTTGGCGTGACTTTAGTCACGAATTCTATTGCCAACAAACAAACACAAAAATTCGGTATTTTGGGCAAGAATCACCTGGACACATGAAAACAGGTTGTTCCCCAAATCAATAATGGAATAAATGAATGTGCGATAAATAATTCGCTTTATTGCCAATTAGTTATTTGTTAGTTTACACAAAAGTGGAAACTAATTAGTAGGGGCCCGGATTCTGTGGTCCAATGCTTGTATAACTGGTTATGTAACCTAATCCAAGGACACCTAAACGTCCTTGACTCACGCAACAAGTGTCGTAAAGCAGGCTTTTTTAAACTATTTTTCCAAAAATTCGATTGAACAAAATTTACGATTACGTGGACCAATCAGATTGATTAAAACGGTACAAATCTATCGCACGTCCTTTTTCTCCTATCTGTAAATGTGATAATTTACTATAATAGTATTGCTTGAAATCAGCTGTTTTAAGGTTCGTTCGCATTGTATGTGCATAGTTTAAATTTATTTTACGTAACTACGCACTGCAGGGAACGGAACGCACGCTTTTTACGTTTACGTTTAATATTTTTTCAATTACCGGGCCCTAAAACTTGACCTACCCTGTATATTTTTTTTTTAGAAAATTGGGCTTTCATGATGTAATTTTTTCTAGACTCCATAGTACTATCTATGTAAACAATCTTAAAAAGTGGTTCAGGATTCATCAAACCATAGTTCATTAGAAATAATTTATTTTGAAATTTTCGCCAGATGGCACTTAAAATTATACCGTGCGATCGAAAAAAAAAAATAAATTAGACTAAACGATGATTAATATTCAGTTGACAACAATTTTAGCTGGAAACTTTCCACACAAACTGGAAATAAAAATGACCATTCCATTTTCTTCTTCTACAGTGAGATCAAAAAGTCTGTCTATCAAGCAATCGTAGAAATTGAAAACGTATGTCTGTGGAAGATAAAATGTCACAATGACAAATGAGAAATGTCAAAATAATTTTTATGTAAATTATAACAGGAAACCTTGGTGAACGATTTTTATGAATAAACACGAACAAAATCTCATTTTAGGATATTTTGAGACGTTTTAAAGAATATTTCAATTTAATCAGCTTAGTGTTTTAATTTTTATAAAATAATTTTTGACATCTAGATAACATACGAACTGCCATGCAACATACGTCCTCAACTAGGACGCCTACTTGATAGAAAGACTTTTTGATCGCACTGTACAATAACTTGCAACAATAAAAATTCTGTACTCTAAAGCGATCATTATTTCACTCAAAATGAGTAAAACGCAAACTTGTCAAAGTTTCCGCTGATATTTGAAATTAAAATCAAGATTGCCATCTGAAGGATTTTAATCACCGCCTACTCCAATAATTTTTTTTTCGATCTCACGGTAATTAATAAATAACATTTCAAGGGTGCCAATCATTATCTATTTTTAAATTTTTTACTATTATCTCAGTAGTATTAAATTAAGTGTATATTTTTAAATAAAAATATCAAAAATCTCAAAATTGAAAGGAAAAATCCCCATGTTGGTGCTTTTGTCGTGTGTGTGTTGGCAGTTCTGTTCGGTCGCTCGTCGTGAGCGTGATGAGCGCAGCACCACCATTGTTTATTTATTATGACATATTTTGTACAAAGAATGATTTTGAAGATTGTTGTGATTTAAATTAGCTCAAATAGTGCCTAGAAATGAGTCATATGTCACCATTTCGCCTAAATGTCCAAAACATTGCATCCGAGTTATCAACAAGCAGTTCAAATCCTAAAAAACGTCGAAAAAACGTGCAAACACCAATTCAAACACCCACAAATGTTCAGGATCTACTGCCGCCCCCTTTATCGGGCTATGGTGACACGATCGTCGCATCAAATCCGTTTGACGATTGCCCAAGTAATGTGAACTCAATGAACGTGAGGAACATGCCCCCCATGGGCATGGGCCCGAATATGTCCATGGGGGTGAACAATATGAACATGTGTAGACCGATGGGTTAGTTGAGGTATTGCGTTGAGATGGGACTCATTTTTGGTATTTAAGGCCCAGCAATGCAAGGCCCTATGGGACCTGGACCTATCAATAATGGACCTCAAATGAACGGCCCTATGACCGCTGGCATGAACATGAGCAGCCCCAATGGGCCCATTGGACCCCCACACAACAACTTCATGATGTCACCCATGAATACCATGTATTCAAAACCCATGCCTGGACCAATGACGGGGAATATGGGAGGGCCGGGGCCTATGAACGGCCCTATCAATAACGGCCCCATGTCAGCTGCCATGAATATGAGCAGTCCTAATGGACCTATAGGTATTTTTCCTTGACTAGAAAGAATTTCTATAATTTATTTTTTCCCAAGTAGGGCCCCCACACAATAACAATTTTATGATGTCACCTATGAATACCATGTATTCAAAACCAATGCCCGTCAGTGCTGGTAAAGTGTACCCAGCGGATCAACCAATGGTAATTTTCACATTGTTAAAATGTAAAAATAATAATAATTTCATAGGTATTTAATTCGCAAAATCCGAACGCCCCGCCTATTTACCCCTGTGGGGTGTGTCACAAAGAAGTGCATGACAATGATCAAGCAATTTTGTGTGAGAGTGGTTGCAACTTTTGGTTTCATAGGTAAATAAGTTGAAACAAATGATTTTTTTTAATTGTGTTTCTAGGGGTTGTACTGGTTTAACAGAAGCAGCTTTCCAGTTACTGACAGCAGAAGTGTATGCTGAATGGGTTTGTGATAAATGTCTATCATCAAAAAATATACCTTTAGTTAAATTTAAGCCATAGTAAACTGTACCAATACAAAAAATTGTTACATGTTATTGTTATGATAAGACTGAAGACCGTAAAAAAAGTCACATCACTCGTTTTAAGACAATTCATTTTTAGTAGAATCTCATTGTATTTTAATATATTGTACATAGTTAGGTCGCCTTTTTTATAAATACGTGTATAAAGCCTTTAGTAAACACGCCTACAAATAGCTTAGGGTTAGTTGTCGTTTCAATTATTTAAGGATATATAACTGTATGTATCATATACACAAACTGGACACAACACATTATCATTCATTATATTGACTATTGTAAATAGGAATTATGTTCCATTAATTTAATTTAAATGAAAAATATACATGATATAATAAGACTGGCTCATTTCAATACCAATTTGCATTCAAATAAATTACGAAACAAAAAACGACCATACTTGTCTGCAGAACTCCCAAGGGAGGAAACGCAATATCAAAGACAAACTGTACTAGGCAATAGATGACACGGACTAATGTGTTTTTGTTAGATAAAGAAGCGTTGAAATTAGATATGTGATTCAGTTGTGATTCACAAATTTAAAAAACACCTAAAACGCAGCCTGTAATCCGTTACACCTGAAAATACTAATTTTCCCACCTCTTCATTCAAATTATTTAAACGAGTGTGAAAAAAGTACAGAGTGGTTATAAATGATTTTCATCTAGCCAGCTTTGGAATTTTTTTGTGCCGCTCTACTTTTTTGAAAGCTCTAGTTCTGTCATTGGTGTCACTTATTAATTAATAATAAATTCTTGTTAATTAAACTTTTATTGTTTCAACGAATTTCCAATAATTGATAATAATGTGTATTTTGTAAGAAAACAAGTTTATAATTGAAGTCTATTTTCGAAGTGGATGCTTAGTAAACGGCGAATTTTTAATTTTGAGTTAAAACTAGTAGATCCCTTATTTCCGTAAAGCGGCATTTTTTATTTTACATGGCAAATTCACAACTGGCTAGATGAAAATCATTTATAACCACTTTGTATGTAATACTAATGGTCCGGTCAGGTCAAAAATCGATTACCAACGTAAGAAAAAATCATTCAGTCAATTATTTATTAACAAAAATGCACAATGTCTCAGAAATCGAAATATTTTCTGCACAATGCCCCTGGGAGTCCGAACTGGTATTTACATATCCTCTCCCATTATTTTGATAGCCGTCATTCGAAACAAATTTAAAAATTCTCTAGTGTATTGAGCCATATGTTGTAAGTGGTAAAATGATAATATGGTTAATTATGTCCAAAATAATGCGTCAGTCTGATGCAAACTTCTCTACAAACATGTGCGTTCTTTTTGAAATAATTTGAACATTGTCTAGACTCGTTTCCTGTAGATAAAAGTGCCGCCTCCTCCAATGCAATATCTTTTGATTAGTCATTTCGAGTCACAAGAGTCGCGTGTTTACAAAATTGTAAGTTTTTGTAAGTGTAAAATGTGTCCTGTAAGAATTTTTTTAGCACCGGGAAAAATGAAGGATGATTTGAACCCAATTGAGGACTTTTTCCTCTTAGAAAAAAGCCCGAATTTTTCGGAAATATTGTGCGACAACACCGATTTAAGTTTGAATGATTTAGACGAGCAACTTAACAATTTCCTGACCGATAATTTAATCCCTGACAGTGACAGTTATTCAGTATTAGGGGTTGATCTTAATTTATCGTACAATGAGGATAATTCAAGTACCAGTAGTACCAACATTGAAAATTTGGATTCATGGGTGATTGAAACTGTCGACAATATGGGCTACAATGACACTTGCTTCGACAATGTCATTTCTGAGACAATCCAAGGAACTGAAATAATTGGAATTAACTTGCAACCAACTGAAACTCTCGAAATCCTCAACATGTTCCCCCACATCACCGATGAAAAAAACATAAAACGAAGATCCCTCCTGTACGAACGCACTACAAAGATCGACAAATGTGAAGACGAAATGAAGTACAAAAAAAACTGTGCGCTTTTAACCCACGACTACGCCAATAAAAGAAACGACGATGACAAGTACTTCCCCTGTTCAGTGCTCAATTGCGATAAAGTCTACACGAAATCGTCGCATCTCAAAGCGCATCTGAAGCGACATTCGGGGGAAAAACCCTTCGTCTGCAATTGGGAAAACTGCACTTGGAAGTTTTCACGATCGGACGAGTTAGCAAGACACAAAAGGTCGCATCTCGGGATTAAACCGTACAAATGCGAATTGTGTGAACGGGCCTTCGCCCGGTCTGATCACCTCGCTAAACACCATAAAGTGCACAAGAAAAAAATGGCGCAGTTTGGGAACTACCAGATCAAACGCCGGATCAGAGTGTCATAATCGCATTCCAAGTATCAATAAAATTGTTAATCATTATTGCGTTTTCTTTGGGGGGAAATTGAAACAGAAACTATTTTTCGTGATTTTCATTCAAAATAAATAACAATAAAATCGTTATATAAATAGGGATTTGACATTTGAGCTGACTTTGGGACAGTAAAAGCAAATCTTTTTCATTTTAATATGCATCAAGTAGGTTGTAAAAGTCTAAATGCCGCTTTAATTTAAAGGGATTCACACAAAAAGTGTCCAGATCAAATTTAATCACATCAATATTGACAAAAATCTTTAAGTATGTTAATTACCTTGTTAATTTTAATTATTTCTTGCTACCTGGAGACACATTTATTTAAAAAAAAATAATTTTTAGGGAAAATTGAGGTTAAGATTTTCGCATGGTTGCCATCCCTTTCAACGACTACTTCGATGCACATTAATTTGAAAACGAGTATAAATTTCGGTTATTAAACAAGATAAAACTAAACCGAATTTGTACTAATATTAATAGATCTTTTTGGGAATTTTGCAAATTGACAAGGAACCAATAAATCATGTATAAATCGTAACGTTGTGTAATATACAAAAAGATCCATTATCACAATTCCAACAAAAATATAATTTTAAGTCATTAAAATACGAAATAAGTAAACTAAAACCCTGAAGGAAATGTCATTCGTTGGTCAGATAAAATGACATTTCCCTAGTTTTTCAAACAAAATAGGATTAAACCAAACAATCGAATTATGGACGAAGGTACACCGAAATCGCGTAACAATTATAAATAACTATTCCAAAAATTTTATCAGTAAAATTCATTGCAAAACGTCATTAGTTTCATTTTATTCCCGGTGAAAAATAAAACGAATTCATTTATAAAGTAGACTTCATCACTAAAAAATGTCTAAATTTCTAAATTTATGGCTACGCAGATTATGCGAAATGTAAAAATTATTTTGGTTATTTATTACACAACTCTAAAGAGTCTACGCGATTATAATGTTTGGTTTTATTGTGTACCAAATAGCTAAATGGAATTTGTACTAATCTTATCAAAATGGTTATTTGACTTTTAATAGATCTTTTTGTGTTTCGCAATCGAATTTTGGCCTTATGTGACTATATTGACACGGGACAAAGTCATGTATAAAAACAGTAACGTCAACAATAACATATTTATAACATACAAAAAGATCTATTATCACAATTCGATAGATAAAAAATATAGAATTTTAATGTATTTATAAATTAGAATAGAAAATAAATAAACTTAAACACCCATAGGAAATGTCACTCAATGGTCATTTAATTTATCTTGACTTCTGCTACTGCTACGTGACGTTTTACGGTGTAAATTTTCCAAATAAGCGGCAGGAGCCCACCCTTCTACAGAACTACCTATAATCAGAAAATGAAATCAATTGAATTAGGTTATGTTTTTTGAATTACCTATAATTTTAACAAACCACCAACCCGCACAGCCAACTTTCAAAAGTTCAACCATATCGCCTTCCCGCATATTAACTTCACTGTTACCAACTGCACAATAATCAGCTAACGCAACGTAACGCCCACTCTGCAACAATCAATCATTTGTTACACCACTAGAGAATAAAAAATTTCAAAAATCATATGTACATATTTACAGCCTTCATGCAAAAAAGAAAGTCAACTTACAAGAACTAAAGAAAGAACAGCTGAATTAGTAATGTGAAACATAAAATGTGGAAGTGTTTGTTGTACTGCCGATAAAATACTGAACAACACGATGGCCAACTCCTTTGACCACGTCTGCCAACTGTAAAAAATGAAGTGCTATATACAGTAGCCTAGCCCAAACACCACCAAACTAAACTAAAAAGCGATAAAAGCTTACAGGAACTGCAACATTGTTTGCGTGCTCTTCATCATCACTGTTGGTGCAGTCCGATGACCAGTTCTCCCCTTCTAAGTCGATATTTTCGTCATGGGGTTGCGACTCAGTGTCGCAACTCATCGTTCTGTGACTGATCAAAGACGCATTTGACACTGTGCTCTTTTGCTTCTCCCACGAGGTGGTTTGACGCAAAGGTCTAGAAACAAATTGTCTAACACACAACATGGATGCCAACCTAAGTAAAACAATACTTGTGTGCTTGTGCCGTGTATTGTTTGATTTTCTCGCCTTTCAGCTCTTCTAATTGGTTCAAAAGAACGCGTTTGATTTCATTAACCCACGATTGTTTTTGCTCAATGTTGCTTGCCTGAATTGTGTAGACTTCTTGTCGGCCTTGAAGCCAGATTTCAAATTTTCGCGGGTCGCCCTTAACCGATTCGGTTAAACCGATCTGGGACATCTTCAAATAGTGTTTGAACTGATATGTGGCTTTATTATGCGACGACTTGGATGCAGCCTTGCAGAATAAAATTGATTTTTGGTAAAGGAAAACGTGACGCCTTAATGGCTTAAGTCTCAATCTTATATCTTTCTTATTTTCTACCCAAATTGAGAATGACCCTTGGAGGAGCAAGTCTCCTTGTTGGGATAAATCGACCGGAAATCCGGTTATCGAAATTTGGTGCATGCTGTCATTGACACATTTTAAAACTACAAGCATGCAGTCTAGTGCTTGTTGCAATTCCCGACAACACTTTCCCTCCTCTGAGTAGCGTAATAAATCCTTCAAAAGGAGTTGATACTTTGTTATCCGTTGGACCGGCTTTAGTAAATACGCCGCTAGAGGGAGCTTATGGCCGAGTTTGCGTTGGCAAGCCTGAAAAAACATATTCGAGTCGACAAGAGTCTCCCGAAGTTGCTCAGATCGAGGAATATTTTGGCAATAACAACTATACAATCGAAAAAAAGTGTCCCGCTGTAACAATACAGTTAACTTTTTTACCGACATTGTTAAATTTGCTTACGCGCTGGACAAAACAAAGCGCCACTAAATCAATCGATGAAATACAGTTTTCCAAGTCTTGTAAAAAAATATTCGCGTGAAATCTGTATATCTCATCCAAGTTACCAAAAATTATGTTTATTTTATCACCAAGGCCTGGGGTTACCAAATGCTGCATTTCCTCAGACTTCACTTCCATTTTGTAACCCTAAACACAAATTAATAAAAATCACCAAATAGAAATTACTTACGGTTATAACCGACAGTAACTCCGAAACGTAAAACTTCTCAGTCTCTATTAACTCAGTTAACACGTGACCAGTCTTAGCTTTATTCACTTCCTCATTCTCGGGGGAAGTTTGGTGAACTTCTTCAATATGCTTCTCTGAAGATTCACTCTACGAAAATGATTAAATAAAGTCACGAGTTATTTAAGAGTTACCTTTGGTATCTTAAAAGTTTTTTTTTTATTGGGGTGGGGGGCACCACCGGGTGGCTGCTTCGGAACCTCGCCTTGAAGGGGCACCAACAACGTATTTAAGCCCGAAATGCGTTTCTCGCACATTAGAGAGACTTCGTCTATTTTTTTCGAAACCTGAAATTGAAAAATGTAAAGTGGAGTTGGCAGTACTGCGCATTTTGACAGTTTTCAATAGTGACAGTTAAAACGTCAAACTTTTCGAGTATGTGTGAAATTCAATAAAATGTGATTTTGGATTGGTAAGGTAAGTTCTAATCACTTTTTTCACTTACCTGAGCTAGTAATGTCTTGATTTCTGCACTGAGGTCTTGGGGATTTCGCCCAAAAAGTGCGTCCCCCGTCTTTAGAAACTCCTCAATTTCCCGGATATACATTTTCGGGGTTTCGGGATCACAACACTTATCTACTTTATGTGTTTCTAACAATTGCAAGCCTTTGGTGCACCAAATATTAGCCTTCTCAATTTGCTCCACAACCTCCTTACTAATAACAAGAGTTTCTTTCCGTTTGTTGAGTTTTTCAACTAAAGTGTCTCTCATTCGTATCAATTCACAACACTTAGGTTCTATACATTGCAAAGGGTAGAAAACTTTATTTTGGATTAAGCTTTGACCTGAGGAAACAACTTCTTCAGCTCGTTCTATATCAACTAAACACAGCTTTTCAAACGTGATCAACTCCTTGATTAAACTATCGATCCTATTAATACTTTCCCCGATTTCGGTCATCTCATTAACAACTTTCAAATGCGAGTTGAAATTAATTTGCAACTCGCGGAAATCCTGCTCGAATCGTCTCAACTCCAAACAGTGGCGCAATTTGGTCGAGTGTTGCTGCCAGAAGTCGTCAAAAGTCCGCTCAGTCTCCTCTAATTGGACCAAAAGTCGCTCAATCGCAAACACATTCCCCATGGTGTCACAACTATAGCCATCACCATTGGCCGATTTGCGTTTGATAGAACAGAGCAAATCCTCGCCTTGTCTCGCAGCAGACAAGATTTCCTCCTTCAATTCGGAATAACCGAGAGTTTGTCGGTTCAAAATTTGCTGAGTCGAGTCGACATTGTTTGGTAATTCGGCTTCGTCGATAATTTTCGTGAATTTATCTAAGGCATTTGAGACTTGTTGAGTCACCACTGAGAATTTCTCTAACTCGATTCGCTGCTGCATCCACTCCTCGTGGGAGTATTGCAAACTGCCCCCCAAATCGGGGGTTATTTGGTTCAAGTCTATGTATTCGTGGAGTTCTTCAATTGTACTTAAGACTATCATGCGGAATTTAAACTCGTCCTTGAATAATTTATTGCTCACTTCGGACAAAGCTTTCTGGAGGAAACTAGCAGGCCGGATTACGTAAACCACGTGAATAAGACCGGGGAAATACACCTGGAACAATTTAACTCAAGACTTATCACTTGACAATATTATTCTTACTGAGATTTTCAACAGGACTGTTTTGACTGAATTCCACCTGTCTTTTCGCCTATCTATTATTAAATGGAAGCCCAAATCCGCCTCTTGTAGTCTACGAAACGAACTCAAAAATGTGCTAAACTATTTTAGGGACTTACGAGGGCACTGAGGTTAAATATAACATCAATCGTTGATACTCAACATCTGATAACAAGTGAAAATTATTGTTGTCTGGGAAAGTGATAATGGGACAACCTTCCTTAGACTTCCCACCTGAGATAATTGCGTATTGTGAATGTAAAAGTTCGGCAACATCGTTAAGTCCTAAAGGTTCCGACTGAATCGTATTGACCATTTCAATTTCTTCACAAGGTGTTACAGGTTCATCTAAACAAAAAAATATTTAGAATTGAAAAAATCCAGTTTGTGGTGTCGTAACTGCAACTTCGCACTAACCGCTAATCCCACAGGTATGTGGTTTTCATTGTATTTTCTTCTGAAAACGTCAATACAAGATACTGTTCTAAAAATACACAATAGACCTCTTCCCTATTATTCCAGAGAACTGAGAATTGTTTCAAAGAATCAATACTCACAATAAGATGAATGTGAATGAAAATAGATAGCAACACATATTGTCATCGTCAATAAAAATGCAAATAAAAACATAAAAACTTTATTGTGTTAAAAGTTACTTATGTTAGTACAACTTATCGTAAAACCAAACCTAAATAAATAAATATATAAATTAATGTGTTCTAATTTGCTTTAAAATATCCATCCGTTTTAAAACTCTCATAAAAAAATAAAAAATAATTAGCCTCTTATACATATATAACATATACGGGGTGGAACCGAAACATTTCCCATTGATGGCATGTTCACTAGATCAGACAACCCAAAATAGTGATGTATCGAAAGATCAAGATAAGTTGAATCGAAAATGTGTCAAATAAAAATAATAAAATGACAAGTCCAAAGGTAAAACGCCAAAATGGCCGACGAATAAAAATCATAAATTTTGTTAATAAAATCATGCTATTTTACCTTTTGACTTGTAATTTTATTTATTAACAAATTATCTTGATCTCTCGTTACTTTTTGAGTAAAATTTTTCCATTAATGGGTAAACAACCGTGAAATTACAGAACTACAATCTCTTAAACAATTAAAATGGAAATATTTTGCAGTTTTCTCACGATTTTCTGCTTTTAAAAAATTAATTAATTAGTTACTTCAGGCATTTTCTTAAACCGCAAAAAATAAGTCTAGAAACTAGAAAATCTTTCAGATAAATGTTTACGTAAATAAATTATTTTTTTAGTTTTTGTGTTAGACTAGAGAACACGCCCTCGGGCCCTGCATAAAATAAAATTGTCAGTTCATAATAATTATCACGTTAATTAATACTTACATAATACAATTAATTATCACTGATATTCTTTCTATACAGGGGGCTTAAATTAATTTTGACACCCTGTACGACTACTAATAAAAAACTTCGGTTACTCTAGTGACTACAACTAATCTAATTCACAGGCAAAATATATAATATGTACACTTGTCAGGCATTGTCCATCATTATCACCGATATTTTTTCAGTACAGGGCGCTGAATTAATTTTGCCACCCCTGTACCAGGTGTCCCAAGTTTTAGGGCCGGCGCCCTAATTGATTAAAAAATAATTTTGATAGTGTAAACAATTTGATGTTTTAATATTGCATATGGCGGTGAGAAAAAAAATCAAAATTCTACGTGATAAAAATTCTTCCATTTTTTTTCTAAAAAGGAATTTTATCACGTAGAAAAAACTCTAATGATTTATTTTTTTAATGTAGTTTTTACGGTTTCACTGACACGCTAAAATTTTTGAATAATATCAAAGCATCAAATCGTTAAAATTAAATACACTCCAATTTGAAGTTTTGATATTGCACAAAATTTTTAGCATATGGCGGTGAGAAAAAAATCAAGTAACTGGAATATTTCCTACGTGATAAAATTCTTTGATTTTTTTTTAAATCAAGGAATTTTATCATTTAGAAAAAATTCTAATTAATTATTTTTTTAATGTAGTTTTTAGGGTTTCACTGACACGCTAAAAATTTTGAACAATATCAAAGCATCAAATCGTTTAAACAATAGAGGACTAAATACACTCCAATTTGATGTTTTGATATTGCACAAAATTTTTAGCAAATGGCAGTGAGAAAAAAAATCAAGTAACTGGAATATTTTTAGAAAAAAAAAATCAAAGAATTTTATCATGTAGAAAAAATTCTAATTAATTATTTTTTTAATGTAGTTTTTAGAGTTTCACTGAACAATATCAAAGCATTAAGTTTGCACTAGCAAATGTTTTTTGAAATAAATTAGAAATAGAAATTTTCGCGCCGGCGGTAAAACTTGGGACACCCTGTACACCCTAATTTATACAATCTAGTCTAATTCAGAGGCAAGCAGTATGTACAGTTCACATTCTGCTAAAAGCATATGGCGCATGGTGCTGTGCATTGGCCATCGTTGTGACAATATTCCCTTGTTCGTTGATAACATATCCCGTGTTGGCCAATTGATAAGAGTAGGCGTTCGCCGGCGCATGCCCATTGGGATTCTGTGGCCCATTTGGTATAATCTGCGAGACGGGGGTGACCAAAAAGGCTTGTTGATGATGTTGGGCCCCTGTGCTGTCATTAGGTTGCGCAACCACCAATGGAATAACTTGCTGCACTTCATTATTGATAACACACTTCTGGATTTGTTGCTCTCGAGGCCGTTCAATAATCTGCGTAGTTTTGGGAATCGTGTGGTGGATTTGCGTATCTTGTTGTGGCTGTTGTTGTTGGGGTTGTTGTTGCGTTTGGTTTTGTTGTTGCGAAGTTGAGGCGTTTTTCGGTTCAACTTTGCAGAATTTCACATGGGGGAATTGCTCTTTCATGAAGTGACGGAAAGTGGAATAGCCCATTAATTTAATTCCGGGTTCGAGAATTTGCCCATATTCTTTATAAGCATCATGGAGGTTTTTCCTCGTGACGTCCCAGGGGAGTTGGATTGGTTGTTTGGTATTAACAATGTCGCGTTCTCCTGTGTATTGTTCCAAGTATTGTTTTAGGAATTCGGTTGCATGGTAGTAAATGTCAAGAGGGAAAGTGTTGTGTGGTTTTTTACCATGGTTTCCGTGGACACGAGGGGCAACCCCATGGGTCATTACGTGTTTTCTTATCCGTTTTAATTGATAATGGGTGCAGTTTTCAAGGTATAGGAAGGCGTCGAGACAGACTCGGCGTCCTTGATAAACATACTGTGCCCTTAATCGTCTTCGTTCCTTATGTCGGACTGTGGTATCAGGGTTTGCAAGACAAGCCATAGTGACCCCCATTAAATACATATCGTGTTCACCCTTAGTCAACTCAGCGATATTAAGTCTATGTTTATATACACTTTCGGGGTTTAATCCTCGAAAACAGCTCTCATCTTGACACTCACAACCCCGTTTAAACCTTTCTTTCACCTGAGCTGCGCTTTCCTCCAGTTTAGTCGAATCGTTTCCACTCGTGTTATCACTAATCGACTTTTTCTTTTTCTTAAGTGGTTGTTTCTTTTTTGTTGATTTCGGTGACGTTTTTGATTTCGTATTACCCGATTGTCTTTTGGGTGATTGTGGCGCTTCTTCAATCGGACTAGTATAAATAGCATTGATGTGTGGATTTGCATTATCCACTTGTATGGCATGCCCTTCCCAAATCACCTATAAACAATTCCCTTGGTTAGAAATGACGTTTTCCAGGTGGCGAAAAATTCGATTATTCGATATTCTACAACTACCTGCTGATCGTCCATTTGATTTTGTTGGAAATGATTATTTCCATCAATTGTAGAAAAAATTGAATGTGCGGTGATTGCTACCGGGGCTTGCCATTGCATTTGATTCTCACCCTCGACAACATCAGAGGAAGGTTGGGGGTTAGACTGGAAGGATTGGGATGATGGTGACTGGTTTTCGTTGTTTTCGAGGATTACTTCCGTTTTTTCGATTCTTTCGACTGAAAGCAATGAATGTAACACTTCGCTTGCCTCTTTCTCCGCTTCGTCCACTTGTGCCATCTAGAAGGCGAACGGAAAATACAAAAACGGTTCAACACCACTTCATTCTCTCAGGTTATTAAAATATTACGAAAATTTATGAAACGTTCCAGTAATATTTGAGATAACGAATGCCACTGTTTTAATCATTTTTTAATTACAAATAGTTGGTTTAATCAGCGATTCATAATTTAATTACGGAAATAGCGAACTGCGTTTTACTAAATGAGAGCATTCCTCATTCCGATGATAATGAAGCTGAGCTGTATTTTGCTTGCGATTAAACGAGTGGTTAAAATTTTATTAAATACAATAAAACTTTACAATAAATCAGAACCCAAGAAAATGAAGCTTTGTATTAGCGAGTTGGTTTGAAAGTGATCTTTTAGTAAAAAAAGTTTCAAATTCGTGAAACGTGTTCCCCACGATATAAACAAAAGATACCGTAAAAATAGGAGCTTGTATTGGGTTTGAGCGAAAACCGTCTTTACTGTATTACATAAAAGATCATTTTCGTTTGCCAACGGTACAGTCAGACAAAAGTGGGCCCTATTGATATCCATTACATGCACAGACGTTTTACCTTTTATTCAAAATTTATGCCATAAAGCAACTGATTTCGCCCATCTGATCTCTAGTATATTAAATCTGCTATCGTTTGACCCAACTTTTCGCACACCACCACACGATTCAACAAATATTTCCCCGAATTCAAGCAACCGGAATCAAAAACTATTCGGTTGTATAGTACGCCATTTTCGCATCGTCAACAACCTCGCGTTCACACGAGCGCTATTCGAATGCGCATGCGCACCAGTTGCGCATGCCCGCCAAACGAGCACAAATTCAAATTTCAAAAAGAAACTTTCCACTTTTTCGATCAACTGATCAAATTTTCATTCACATTCCTCAGACTAGTATTTATTTACACACTTAATTATAGATTCGTGTTGGGATTATTTATTACACAAAAGCTAAAACGTCCTTCAATTTGCTCTGCTCTAAAAATGTGTAATTGTGTTTTCCCGGGTCGGACAGGTGACATTCTCGATCAATTTTTGAAGCGATTTTAATAGGGTTTAATTCCCTAAAAGGGTCTCGTTTAATATTTCAACAAGTGACGGGTTTAAATTGGTCACAAATGGGAACTACCGGTCGTGCAAAATTAACGCTGATAATTTATTTTTAATTAAAAATCGTGTTGACTATTTGAATGTTTCTTAAGCAGAACAATAACCCGTGGCCCTGTTTAATTAAATTCAAATGCATGGTTAGTTACGGAGACTTTTCCGCAACAATGAAATTGAACGATTTTACGGTTCAAATTATTAATACCGTTTAGGTTCTTGACCAATCAAAGGAATCTACCGTTGAATATTTGAGTGCAAAAACATTGTTGTGGTCCAAGGATGTTTCCTCCAGTCTCGACATAAATAATAAACAAAATGTTAAATCAGAAGTAAATAATTATTTAGCCGCATTCCGCACTCTGATACCACCCACAATTAATTAAGATTTAGACAATGTCTAACACAGATTATTTATTTCAATAAACATACAAAACCAAAAACAGTTAATAGCAACCCTCGCACTATAAACGTCAAATTCTTCACATGAAGTTATATCACAATAGCTATTGTTGATCCTACTTCCGCTTCACTTTTCTAACGTTATGTTACAAGAGAAGGCGAAGAGTTCACTTCGAAATTCTCTTATCATTTTTCATAAGTTGATTAATTAGCGAGTCTAAAAGCTAAAAGCTTGATAACCACCTCAAAGATAACAATTTATTTCCACAATGACGCGTATGATAAGTACAAATAATTTTCTTTATCACGTAACAATTGCCGTAATTAAAAATTTCATTGTGTGAAATCGATTTCGGATGACATTGAAAAATTAATCATTTACTCCATTCAAACTTGAATCTCTTACTAATTAATAATTTGAATGACAGAGGATTAGATACAAAACATCGATTTCCATTTATTGCACTGAAATTAAGCTCCTTGAAGGCGTTCGTTATCAATAAACGGCGTTCTTTTGAAACTTTTTCCAATTAATCAAAGGCATATTTCTCAATATTGACACATTGATATAAAAATTCAAAACACAAAATGATTTTAGTCAGTGTGTGTGATTTTCATGTTTTTTTTTTTTTTTTTTGGAAATAAAAAAACTGTTTTTTGAGCATTTATCACGTTTTCAACCAGAAACTTGATTTTTTAGTCATTTTTTTGGAAAAAGTCGAAAAACCACCAAATAGTTTGTTTTTGAGCTAGAAACACAATTATTTCGCAAAATTTCGATAAAAACACAATTCAACAAAATCGCCCAAAAACGGTGCTATTTTTGCCTTTTTCGAGTATTTAAGTACGTTTTTGAGCAATAAATAATTCTAAAAATTTTGTTGAAGCAGGCAAAAAAATTACAAAATAAATCGAAATTGATATTATTTTTAGGTTGTTTCGCTCGACTTCTTTTTTGAACCAGAGGCTCATTTATTTTGCAAAATTTTGTCCAAACACGCAAAAACGCAAAAAAATAATTAATATTAATGTTATTTCGTT